AAAAATGTGTCATAAAAATATATTCCATCCAAAAATAAAATAAAAGAAAAGTCCCAGAGGCTGTGATGAAACAAAAGAAATCCAAGGACAGTTGTCGTGTCACCAATCACTACTACACAAGGCTTACCAGAAAGGCATGACCCCCTGTCACTCAAATCCTCCTCCAGATCACCAAAACAGCAGATAAGGATCTTCCAAACAATGGACCTTAATTTGGGTAGTTAAACCATTCAGGATAATGCTTGGACTCCTAGTGGAAAACATGCAAAGAAAGAACGCCCCACATAGTGTAAAACCATAATCACAACATTTATTTAAAGTATAGTTGCACTCACATGTAAGCAAACATCATCAGGCATTGATTGACAAATTGGCCACCGGATATTCGCGCATGCGCAGCAGCATGTGTGTGTGGCTCCACCCTAAATGCATGTTGTGATCAGCAATACTGCAATAGCTGGAACCTACTGTGTCCTCATACTGGAGACATCTTGGTGGGGTCTACTTTGAGCTAGTTGACATACTCTGCCCACTTGTTCCACAGCATGAAGATCTAGACAGCTCTGTGTATACTAGTGCGGTTGGACACACAGTGCTGGATTGATACAGGAGTCAGGGTTAGCGAGGGGGAGATACTTAGTGGAAGGTTCCGCTTTCCTTCTCAGTTGTCCCTGGTTTGGTCTGATGTGTGGACCTCTAAAAAGTTACTATATTATTTAGCTGTCATAGGTGTTGTAGCTGTCATAGGTCATTAAACTTTTCCTCCAAGTTCAAAAATAATGCATGTTTTTTGAGAGCCAGTATAAAGTGAAAGTAATGGTAAAAAAGTGGGTTTAACAGATTGTTTTTTGCATTAAAGTGTTACTAAAAACCCCGGGCCCTGCATTCACTATATCTGGTCTCCCACAGTACACAGAACGTGGAAATGCAATTATTTTAGTAAATATAAACTGCTAAAATACCTTTTCTCATCAGCAGTACATAGCAGTCTTGTGACTTCTATCAGTGTCCAGCCCACCACTAGCTAAAGCTTGTAGAAGTTTTCATTCTGCTCTAGGAGGATGGAAATCCCCTGACCCTCTGTCTGGACAGTGTTGATTAGCACTGTGCTGATCACATGCACTCTCCCAAGAAAAAAAAAAAATCCTCTCTAGCAATACACACCAAACATGAGCATGTGCATGCCTGCAGTTCAGTCTGGAGATAAGAGGTGGTGACTTGAAAAAGGGAAGGAACAGAGAAAAAATAATCAAACAGACTTTTTACACAATACAGAGGATTAACCCCTTAGGTACCACAGTGAGTATAACAAACAGGCTTTACTGCATATTCAGACTGATTTTACTGTTGTGGGTTTAGTAACACTTTAATTCTTCATGATCTGCATAACTGGAGGCATGGCAGGGTTGTAGTTCATACTGTATATTCTATACTAAAAGTAGGTATGCTTTAAACAGTAATTTCAATCATGTTTTTATTCAAATACTACACAAAAAATAGATGATAGAGCATTTTTGGGGGCCCTGGAAGGCAGATATGTTTTCTCATTATTTGAGTTGTGGTCCCTTTAAAGGGGACAATTTTAATGCAGTTTTGGAATATTCAGGAATTCTCACTCATGAAGTGTGAGGGGTTTCCGGTTTGAAAGGGACACATTGACTTACAGTTTGCCCAAGATTGGTAAGTCCTTATATGGGATACAAAAGTTTGATTTTTGTATTAAGGGTTTGGACTGTTTTGTTTCCTGCCTAGCTGAAGAAAGCTGTTTTGTTTGATTTGGAAAAAATAACGATTCTTTTACTATTACAAATGCCTGGCTATTGATCCGACTCTTCATATTACAACATATAAAGTGTGCTCTGTTATGTCACCTCCTTGCTAAATGTAATGTTCATTGCAATTCCCTACACACTAGAAACATACACCAACATTATCAAATAACATTTTTCTCCTGCTTCTGAAAGCGTTAAACAGGATGGATATCCTTCCCAACCACAGACTTTAGCTTCAGGGAGCATCAGGTAAAAGTATGACAGTGTTATGGTTCATGCTTTGGCTTTCCTATTCAGTTGGAAAATAGGGGAGTATTGTAGCTGACACTTCTCATTAAAGGCAAGTGTGCTGCTAACTGTACACTGCAGTGGTGCCTTGCAATTTGTATTAATGCACTTCTTCTGTACATAATATAATTTGCTATGAAAAATGCAGAAAACTATCCTATGATGTGTGTGAAAGCGCTCAGTCATTATAAATAAATGAAGACAGATCAGAAAAATAAAATGTCATCGATGCTCAGAAGACATTATTTCCTGCTTGTGAAAAATATGCCCCATGTGGCTTGGTGAGCATTTGGGTTAATTGGCTGCTGTCAACTCCTATTTTAGTGGGCAAACGCCTTGATAAGAAATGTAAATTGTCACTACTACACCAAAAAATGGGTGATAGCAGATTTTAGCATCTTCTTTTTTTTGTCTATTCTTAATAATTCTTTATCTAAATGCAAATGGGATTTCACTTTCTGATAAGGCCATTGTACTTCGTAGCATTTCAGAAAAAGCACAATTATAGTCTATTTCAGTCCTGATTCAAGATGTCTTTGTTAAGAATGTGAAAGATCTTTTTGTTGAGACATATGGTTTTCTTCCCCTACTTACATTTAGTTGCTGATGTGACTATCAAAATACTTTGGTTTATGGAAGATAGACTAGCAAAAGTCCCACTAAAATTGCTGGTGACTTTCAACAGTGCTTTCTTTGACTAATACATTAAGAATCCTATGAAAGCAAAATATGTTAGACTTATGAGCAGTGTCTGGTTATGCCAAGTTGTCAAGCCTTGAAGAAGGGCCCAATTCCTACTTGTATGTCTAAAGAAGACTCTGGCCATACTTAAAAGGTAACTCCACTTTCAGAAAAAATTGTAAATAAAAAAAAAAATAATATAGTGTATACAATTGCTACACAAGTCATATTGTAATTGAATGTTGTTAAAAACTACCTTTCCTTTGCAATCTGCAGTGCTGTAATTTTTTGTAAAATGCAATGCAATATGGCTATCTGGAGGCTTTCTGTACGCAAATTGTGTACAGAACACCCCCCCCCCCCCCGGAATTTAATTTCCTGCATGTGTGATTGGCTTGCTGATTTTCTCAGAAGTCTGCACTGAGATACAAGTATACAAGTCAGATTTTTGAGCATCAAAAAGTGTTATGTAATCGCGCTAGGATCTATTTAGTGCTACAAAGTGTTACATCTTACCAGAAATTGTAAAAAATAATCATCAGTATAAATAATAGTAAGAAAATATAATTATGGCCGGCTGCTGCTTTAAATGGTTCTGGACCTCTTAAACTAAATAAATATATAAATCAAATGCTGTTTGGTTACAAAATTCTTTTGCAACCAAATTAACAATAAGTCCATCTCCATTCGTTTCTTCACATGAATGAATCAAAGTGCAAAATTAGTGCAGTCTCTTATAGTGCCATGCAATATTTCTTTAAAGTGCTGATCTTTGTGCTGTGCTCCCCGACAGTCCTCCCCTGCACTCACCAACAATTGTGGACTCTTAGGTATATAAGACTCATAAGCGCTCATATATATCCTGGTATGTCCTGATGATGTTGGCATTTGTAGTCCTCCTCTCAGTGGCGATGTGTCACCATGGGTGACGGTATTCACAGGGCTGTGTGTTACTCACGTGTATTGAAAATAGTTGAAGGAACCATTTAGTTGAAAACCGCTTTCTGGAAAATATAGTTAAAAGCAGTTACACTCACAGTATTAATATGACTGGTATGTTGCCAAGCCTGCAGTTGGCACCCGCTCTTGCCACCCCAAGTTTGGCTGTACAGCCAGAAATCTGATCATGCTGAGATAGATGTGCTCTATGCCTAGTGTGGTCAGTTTGAAATAGGAAAGCAAGGTAACCGGTGGGATCACCAGGAATTTCACACAAAGGAAGCAATACAAAGAGAATAGAATACCTTTTAACACAGGTACATGGTATAGCAGGCACACATTGGAAATATGAAATGTAGGGGTAGCATATTCTTTAAGCACATGAGCACAGTGTGTGACCATATTCCACTGTATTAGCAAAATGGATTGCACGGGTTAATGTGCTCCTTTCCTTTTCTCCACCCCCCCCCCAATCTTTCTATTATAAAATGATTTAAGAGAACTTCATTCACTAGAAGCTTTCAGCCCTAAAACATCTTTTAGCCGGAGAAATATCTGAAGCAATCTGGCTGAAATGAAGAGGACAAACCAGAGCAATACAGGCTTCTTCACAAACCACGTTACTATGGTGACATAGAGCAATATACAAAGGTTATAGGCCATATATCAAAGAAAGAATACATGTTCTCTTCAATCTAAATTAGGTGATGTGTGTTAAGAGTTTTCATTCCTTCTCGGTCTGTAACGTGCATATATACCTTGTTTTCAGCAGTGATACTTTTATAATAAAATGTGTATTTTTGTTTCAGTGGAGGAATTGCTAGTGTTCTTTGTAGCTTTTGTATTTACACATTCATTTTAAAGGGTCAATCTATGAAATATTGATGTTCCAGCTTCTTAAAGCCCCACTTCCGGAAAAAAAAACCTTGGTGGTCCCAGGCCTGTTGTAGTACTGTCTGTGTAGTGGTGGTCAATGAACTGGCTATGTTGTCTGCCAGATCTTTGGCAGGTAAAGCAGAATCCATGTATGTATTTCAATGGTACATTTAGCTATCTGCCCAGAGTTCAGATTCAAAGGAAACCTGTGAAAATAAATATATGGGTGCTCCTACCACTAAAAGGTGTAAGCCCTGTAGCTGTCATCTTGATTTAAGCTTCATTACATGGTTGATGATGTCTTAGAACAAGCATGCAAGGATGGGAGTTCAAACTTTACCATTTTTCCTAGGTGAAGGCTTGTGTCAGGTCAATGATTCACGCAGTTGTATAGCTAGGTTCACAAGAACAGCCCTGACGTCTACATCTTTAAATACATATCAGCAGGGGCGGACTGACAACTCATGGGGCCCCCGGGCAATAGGGGATCATGGGGCCCCTGTGTCCTTGCCCAAACTCAAAAAAGCCTATGAAAAAGGTACCAGGGACATCTCATGGAGCCCCCTACTGACCCTGGGCAGCACCCGTGTTTCCAAATGGTCAGTCCGCCCCTGCATATCAGTGGTGGCATTTGCCATGTCACAGGTTCTCTTCCAGGACACATTAGCCAGCAACCTCTTCCTAATAGACATTAAGGTACTGAACAGGGGCGGACTGACCATTGGGGAACTTGGGCACTGCCCGAGGGCCCAGGGTCAGTAGGGGGCCCCATGAGATGTCCCTGGTACCTTTCATAGGCTTTTTTGGGTGTGGTTTCAGTGTGGGCGAGGACACAGGGGCCCCATGATCCCTTATTGCCTGGGGGCCCGTGAGTTGTCAGTCCGCACCTGGTACTGAAAGAACAGCCTGTCCTCCAATAGCAAAGACTTATAAGGACATGCATCCCCTACTGCTGTTTCTCCACCCCAGATTTTCTAAGCTTCATATGAAGCTAAGAACAGTGATTATTTGATCCAATATAATGTTTTATTTATTTTTTTTAAATATACACAAATGTTTTGCCTTTCATTTCTTAGCTTAAACTGAATGGGTTGTTTTCAAGATAAGGGCTCTCACATACTTTAAATTGCATGTTTTTTTCAGTTTTGTACAGAGTAGGACAGGGTTAGGTCTTCTGTCAAGTTTTAATTGCTGTTGGTGCCCCTTTGAGAAGATACATTTGTGCTTTTGACCAGTGTCTAAAGCACTGTCAAAGACATCGTTGGCCAAAGTCTTGCACCTGACGATGGTTTTGATCACACATTTAAAGCTTTACCAGTAGCCGTTTTTCAATGTGCTCTGATTCTGTGTGACCATAGCACAAGACACACAATCCTCTCATCTTCAAGAATGTTTTTTTTTTTTGTGTAATGTAAAGTAGATGAATAGACATGCACTTTATGTGTTGCCAGAGTATAAGATGAACAAGAAAACTTGACACTTCCGCGCTCAGAAATGGTAGCGGCACCATCATATTGCCACAAAATTTTGCCAAAATCAAGCAACCCAAACTGGAAGGGTGCAGCCTTCTTAGAATCAGGGAAATCCAATGCTATAGAAAAACAAACAGAGAGGGCGCAAACGCCTAGTGTATTATCTTCAGCACTTAATTACAAGTAAAGGAATACATAAATATACTTGCAAGCCAAGTGGTCAGATAGCAAATAGAACACACATGGCATGAAATAAAAACATCCGCTATCCAACTCCAACTAGTGAATAGATGACTTTGCCTGCTGACGCATTTCGGGGAACTGCCCCCCTTCCACAAAGCTAAGGTCTTTGCGCCCTCTCTGTGTTTCTTTTGCCAGAATATGGCTGGCACTGTTTCCAAGAGTCATAACACATACTGTACTTATTCCACATACAGCTTTAAGGCATCCCCAAAGCATGTTATTTAAAGGAATTATGTAACCCAATATAACAATAAGATAGGTGCTGTGAATATAAATATGCGTTATTTTAAAAAAAGGTATATGAAAAATAAAAGATTAGTCCATTCTGCAACAGTTCTAAATAAACTCTTTTCAACAAAGTTCAGTCTCTCCACTATAAACAAAAAGTGCTCCAGGTATCCAAAAAAGATTAGTCTGTCCTACAACAGTTCTAAATAAACTCTAGTAATAAGTGAAGTAAGTGAGCCAGTGCTCAAACACCTCTCCCCAGCAAACTAAGATTTACCAGACAACAATGCCTCTCTTTATAAATTGGCATATAATGCATATATAGATGACTTCCAGTGTGCCCCTGCTCCTTTAACTGCTTTCCTACCACACTATAGCAGGACTACTGCTACAGGGTGGCAGGACTGCGTAAAATCACTTATATACACGTGATTTTGCATTTCCAGGTATGGGGCACGCACACCACCCTACCTGCGCCGCCATGGGTGGCTACAGCTACCGATCAGGGGCGGACTGACCATTTGGAAACTCGGGCACTGCCCGAGGGCCCGGGGTCAGTAGGGGGCCCCATGAGATGCCCCTGGTACCTTTTTCATAGGCTTTTTTGAGTTTGGGCAAGGACACAGGGGCCCCATGATCCCCTATTGCCCAGGGGCCCCATGAGTTGTCAGTCCACCCCTGCTACCGATCACTGGGTCCTGGCTGGAGATTCCCCGCCGGTACCTCCGGAGATCTCCGTGGAACACTGACAGGGGAGAGGTCTGTATGTAAACAATACAGATCTCTCCCCTGTCAGCACCAGCATGCTGCTTTGTATTGCTCTGCATAGCATAGCAGAGCAATACAAAGCAGCATGCTTACACAGTAAAACACACACAGCACATAGTAAAACAGCACGCAGCACAGAGTTAACCCTTTGATCGCCCCAGATGTTAACCCCTTCCTGCCCAGTGTCAGTAGTACAGTGTCAGTGCTTTTTATTAGCACTAATCACTGTATTAGTGTAACTGGGGATGTCAGCGGCAGTTAGTCAGTTCCCTTCCCAATGTCAGAATGCCCACCACAGTCCCGCTATAAGTCGCTGATCTAGTAATAGTATGAAAGAAAAAATTCCAGTATATATACACGACCATTTGAGGACGATATAACTTTCACGTAAATCAAATAATTTACAGGTATTGGGATTTTGTTTTAGCAGAATACATTTTGACCTATTATGACGAAATTAGATTTTTAAAATATTTTTACTGGATATGTTTTATAGCAAAAATTAAAAAATATTGGTTTTTTTTTTCAAAATTGTCGTAGTTTTTTTTTTTTGTGTGCAAAAAATAAAAACCCCAGAGACAATCAAATACCACCAAAAGAAAGCTCCATTTGTAAGAAAAAAGGACATACATTTCATATGGGTGCAGCGTTGCATGACCGTGCAATTGTCAGTTAAAATAATGCAGCACCTGGTCAGGAAGGGGGGTAAGGGGCAAATTCTTAAGAAGGGGGGTGCTCCCCCCCAGGCATACTTGCCTTTAAAGTGTTACTAAACCCAGGACCATGCATTCACTATATCTGGTCTCCCACAGCACACAGAACATGGAAATGCAATAATTTTAGTAAAAATAAATTGCCAAATATCTTTTCTCATCAGCAGTATAAAGCAATCTTGTGACTTCTATCAATGTCCAGCTGAGCACTGATTAAAGATTGTAGGAGGAGTTTTCATTCTCCTCTGACTGTCCTATGAGGCTGCATAACCCCTGACCCTATGTCTGGACAGTGCTGATTGGCCCTGTGCTAATCACATGCACCCTCCCAAAGAACAAAAAAAACTCTCTAGCAATACACACTGATCATGTGCAGAGTGATTCCTAAAGCACTGTACAATCAGCAGATGGATTGGGGACAGTAGAAGAAGGAGAGGATCAGAGAAGAAAGGATCAAACAGCCTTTTTACACAATGGGGAGGATTAACCCCTTAGGTTCCACAGTGAGTATAACAACCATGCTTTACTGCATATACAGACTGATTTGACTGTTGTGGGTTTAGTAACACTTTAATCTATTCATTATCATATATGTGCTCCTACTATAGAGGCTCTCAAAATGTATAGAGTTAGGACTGCAGTACACTAGGGTGCAGTGAAGTGGCCCTGCAGTTTACACACAGCATATTTGCAAATGTATGCAAATTAAATCACTGGTTTCCACGTGAACTTTTTAAAAAGACAATTCAGTTTGTTGCAGGCAGGCTGGTAAATGAGCCTGGAATTTTTCTTTGTTGTTGTTTGACATGCGTCGCCCTTCCAAGTGCTCCTTTCTGTAAAGGGCAGTTATAGGTTGGGGCAGTTGCCATTTGTTTCTATAACCTACAGAAAGGAACATATATCAATAAACTGTTATTATCAGATACAGTACTTCATTATCATGTGAAGTGATGTATTGGAAGTGACACAGTGGACATTGGGTGAGAACGAGACTGAGGTTTAATGTTCCTTTTGGCAGAATACATCATGAGGCCTGAGTCACTTTAGTAATGCTGGATTATTTTACCTTCTTGTGAGTGTGTTTTAATACAAATAAAGCACATTTTAGTAAAAGGGGTTTACACTATTGGAGCCACTTTTTTTTTTTGGGGAGTTCCACAAGAAAGGAGAGTCAGGACCAGAAGCCATGTTAGATGGAAGTCATCTGTATAGGCGTTATATGCCAATCTGTAAAAGGAGAGGCATAGTTGTCTGGTGAGTCCCAGTTTGCTGGGGAGAGGTGTTTGAGCACTGGACCACTTTTATTCACAGTAGGGGGACTGAACATTCTTGAGAAGAGTTTATTTAGAAATGTTGCAGAATGAATTAATGTTTTATTTGTCATACACCTTGTCACTTGGGCTTTCACAGTGGTGTTCATTTTATATAAACACATATTTTATGTTCGCCTTTCTTATTATTATATTGTGTTACATATTTTGAATTGAAGGCTGCAGCAATATTGCATAATGTAGTAATATTATTTTTGGGGTATTGTATGTCTGTAGTGCTGAGTTCTGTGATTATATTTAAAGAAATTGCATATTTTTTATGTTGCCCTCTGAGCTGCTCTACAATGAGCTTTCCCCTTTGAACGATAACTTAAAATTGTTTGGAACATGTCCAACAGGTCAGTGCCTAGCCCCAAAGCCCTTTCGGTGACAATCTCTTTATTTTTAGCTTAGAAAATGGCCATTATTGAAAACAAATCAGCTCCCATTGACTTCATTGTGGTTCAGATTCCAGATCCAAACTTCGATGACAATCGCCGAGCCAAACATTGGTATATTCAGCTCATCAGTGTAATCAGTCCAAAGTACTTAAGGGATGAAGAGGTCATGCCCCTCCAAACTAGGCAGAAGGAAACGTAACTGAAAAGACAGAAAATATTACAAAAAGGGCATAGAGACCTCGTGTGTTAAAGACACACAAAGCTATAATTGTGGAGGCTTAGAACTGCATATATAAAATATAATCACCTATATAACTGGGGGTCCATAATGGAAGTTATAATACTAATCAGCAGGCTTAGGGTTGGTGGTAAGTACTGTAAAGCTTCTAGCAAACCCATGCAGCTTGAATCCCTAAAGGGGTGCTAATCTTTGGGTTCTGAAACATTTTTTCCACTCTGCACTCTATCACTTTATTAAAATCAGTGTTAAAAGAACTCATAGATGACCACTTAGGCAACAGC